GATGACAAAGTTAAGGCGGTGAAATGAGATATTATTTGCCTAAAGATCTAGAAGCTAGAGCCCCTTTAGGTACTGAAAGAGCTAACACTCCTCTAGAGGGAAAAATCACCATTTACGATCGCTTTATGCATTTAGGGTGGAGGTTCCCCCTTTTCCCTCTATTCGAGGAGATTGTCCAACACTACAAAACCCCTCAAGCTCGATTTACTCCAAACATGATAACATATGTCCTCGATTTTGCGAGGATATGTGAACATGTGAAAGTTAGGCCTCAACTGATTGGTACATCGTAAAAAAGAATCCTAAGTTGGGTTCCAAGAAGATTGTAGAGGCATATGGTGGTTCACCAGTGTGGAAGCCAGACTATCTGTTTGGAAAGGCATCCAAGCAATATTGTGTTGCATGGAATTATTGAGAGTCCAATGATCTCGAGACAATAAAGGATGATTGGACGGATGATGATGATGATAACATCGAGGAGCTTGAAGACGATTTGAAAAAAAATCATGGGTACCCTAAAGCGATTAAGTGGAGCAACGTACAACATCATTCCCCCTATTCCTGTCAAGGAGAAGAAATGTACTAATCTTGTATTATTTCTGAGTTGTTTTTAGGTCTTGTCGTTGGGAAATGATCCTTCTGGAATATATGGTGATGCCGACCCCTTTAATGTTGTGAATTCAGATGAGTAAGCGTCCACAACAAAAAAAGTGGTGGCTAAAAAGAAGAAGAAAAGGATCGCGAAGGACGTAGAGAGAGGACAGAGGAAGAAATCCAGGCAGGATCCTCTCGTCATGGAAAGACTGAGTCGACAAAGCAAGGGGAGAAGACTATTCCCCCTATTATCGACGAATCCTGGATTCCCCCAGTAGATCAAATTGCAGCACCGCACAACGAGGGAGAGATGCACAACGGGGATGAATTTGCACACAAGTGCTAAACCGCCCTCGATAGAAAACGGTAAAAGTCCTCTCAAGGGGAATGTGACCATTCTGCCTCCTCAGTTGTTCGAGAGAGGTTTGTTTGTTGCAGTGTATACATTTAGCGACCCGTCTTCCATCGACTGCCCCCTGCTAGAGGAGTATGTCGCCACGCTGACTGAGGGAGATAGCTTGAAGTTGGTAAGTGCCCTTTGGTATTCCATGTTTCTTTGTTGGGACAACAGTAGCTTGAATGCGTTATTATCACTTGCTTTCGCCTTGCAGGTGAGCACTGTCATGATGAATTGCACGAAGTGCTCGAGAGACCTAACGCAAGAACTGGTTAAGGCTCGTGCTGAGAGAGATTGGGCATTGAACGAGAAATTAATCCTTGAGGAGAGGAACTTGCAGTTGCAGGCAAAGGAGAAAGAGTTGACCCTGGTTCAGGCCAAATATGAAGAAGCGGACCAAAAAATTAAGGAGTATAGCAATCTGCGCATCTCGAAAGAAGATCTTAGTAAGTGGTGTGCTGCTTTTTGGTTGAGGATGCTGCCCACAGGTGGTATGGTTGCGATTGTTGAAGAGATCAACATGGCTGCTGTGGAGTACGGAGGCCATGGGGTTGCTGTCGCAGGCCTGAAAAGACTCGAGGGAAACATGCCTATCAAGGCCAAATGGTTCAAGCAATTCCTGAAGGAAAACCCAATGAAGGCCATACACGAGGACTTGGTCAAAGGCCTTAGCAAGCTTAATGTCGAGCAGCTTCCCCCGTGGAAGCCTTTATGTGGAGTGTTGGCCAAGATGGGTAGTCCCAAGGACATTTCCTCATTTCCAGGAGACTTTGCCATCGTTCTGTCAAAAGGGCCTGGTGATGAGCGGAGACTTCTGGATGTTTCTGACGAGTATATTGGCATTGAACTCGAGGAATATGATGATGATGAAATCTCAGAAGAAAGTGAGACTGGTAACTCGTGGGACAAGACGAACAATCCCCCCGTTGAAGGGAATGCCGATGGAACCAAGGAGAATGATCCCCCGGTTGGGGGGACATCTGAGAATCACCCAAAAAATCCTCCTCACTAACAAGAGGTTGTATGAACTCTTGCCTTGTAATGGTTTCTAGGAATTTGTTTAAACTATAGTTTTTGTACAAAATTCCTCTTTCCTTTGACTTTATGGTAATCGATGCGTTATTAGCCTTATTATCTGATATTGGTCTTCCCATAGAACAGCATAGTTGGCATGTTCACTGAATCCAACTTATGATTTTATTAGAGGAACAATCCAAGGAGTATCCCCTATACTCTATGATTTTCAACATCGTGAAAAGATGGGCAGACATTCATAGTATTGACATAGTAAGGGCCTTGGAGGAAGACATCCTCGATGCTATTTGAGCCCATAATGTGAGAGTTAATCAGTATTTGATCAAAGAAATCAAAGGGCTTCGCGTGGAGATGCAAAGGCGAGACTATCAGAAAGATCAGGACTACAAATACTCCTTGATTCTCGAGGCAGACATACACGATGAGATGGCCGCTTTACAGAAGGAAAATGTTAGGCTGAGAACGAGCAAAGAGATAATCTTATCTCCTTGGTTTCTCGAGAAGCATCACGTACTCGCTCGAGTACAACACATGATCATGGTGAGGACTTATTGGTTCATTACAGCCCGTGACATGGAACTTCTTACCTAGTATTGTGGCTTCTTGACGAACAAGCTGGCGGATTACAAGATTGACTTTCGAAGTTTTGAAAAGCCAGAAGAGTTTGTAGATCCAAGGACCAGGAGTTCGTGAGAAGAACTACTCTTGAGGATGAATGATCAAGATGAGGAGATTGTCGATTTGAAGGACAAGCTCAATCAATGTGTTAACCTTCTTAGCCAACATGGGTTTAGCGGTATTATACGCTCCTCTATTGATAATCCAAGGAGGCAAGTCCTTGTAATAGTGTAGAAAAACATATGTACTTTCCATAACCTCGCACAGTGTGTGGAGGTAATAAATGCGTACTTACTCGAGTAAATTGATATAGCGCTTTTATGTATGACCAGATGTAGAGTACACGGCTTTTTTCGAGAGAACCAGATAGGGGTTTTTCGATGTTATGATACCACGGTCTACGATGGGTACGAGGAGAATTCCTCAGTTTTTGTGTTCAGATGTTGAATACACGACTCAAATCGAGGATGACCCTAAAGAGGGTGTCCATCTTGTGGACTAGTCATCGTATAGTGTCGGCATAAGTAAAGAATATGAAAAATATGTAATGGCTTTTATTGAATAATTACCCAAGGACCCGGGTTAGCATTACATATAAGAAAATAAAAGTACCTAATCACATAAAGCAAATAAGTTATCGTATAGCAAAGGTTTTGGACATTCCACCATCAAGGAAGAACGGTTTCAAAGTCGTCCGTCGTCTGGAGATAACTGCCCGATGGAGAGTATTGAATTACTTGATAAGGGCCTTCCCAATTTGCTAATAACATTCCAGGAGCCTCAGCTCGACTTGCATCATTTTTCTTAAGTACCAGATCCCCGACAGCGAAGTCAGTGTTTTTGACCCACTTAATGTAGTGCTTCCTGAGAATCTCCTAGTACTTGACTTTCCCAAACTTTCACGGCATCTCGCCGTTCCTCGAACAAGTGAGGTTAGTTAGGGTATCTTCATCATTAGTATCCTCGATGAAGTTGATGGTTCGAGGACTAGCAAGACCAATCTCAACTTGAAGAACAGCGTCCACTCCATAAACCAAACTGTATGAAGTTTTATCTGTCAAGGAATGAGCTGTGGTACAATAGGCCCATAGGACATGGGAGAGTTCATCGACCCACACACCTTTGGCGTTCTGCAATCTGGTCTTGATTCCATGCAAAATCGTTATGTTGATGGATCAGCTTGGCCATTGGCTTGCGGATGAGCAACAGCGGAGAATCGGCGCTCGATCTGCATTTTGGCACACCATGATTTGAAAGGATCGCTCTCGAACTGAGTCCCATTGTCTAATACAATTACTTTAGGCACTTCAAAGCGGCATACCATGTTTTGCAAGAAAAAATATAACACCTTCCTTCTAGATATCGAAGCCAATGGTTTTGCTTATACCCACTTAGTAAAATAATCCATTGCTATGATAACCCATCGTAGCCCTCCTACCCCTTTTGGAAAAGGGCCGATGATGTCGGTGCCCCATAGGTAAAAGGGCCAAGGACTTTGGATAGTAACCATCTCGTGCTGGAGTTGTCGAGTGATATGAGAGAAGCGCTGACATCTCTCGCTTTTTTGCACAAAATGATATGCATTTTTAAAGATCATAGGCCAGAAATAGCCTGCTCAGAGGACCTTTTTGGCTATCCTCGAGCTCCCATGTGTGCGCCGCATGATTCCTCGTGAACCTCCTCGAGGACATAGGCCGCCTACCTTGGACTGATGCAGCGCATCATTGGTAGCAGGTATCCATGCTTGTAAAGAATCTCGTCCTTCAAGGTATACTTAACGCCTTTTAGCTTCAATGCCCGAGCTTCAAACTTGTTATCAGGCAAGGTTCCGTCCATAAGAAAGTGGATAAATGGTGTCATCCATGTGCCTCCATCTTCAGTGATTGCTAGTGATACTCGGCGCTGGATGCTGGGTTCGGGGAGTATCTCGACCCAAACCTTGTAGCTAGGATGCATAAAATTGGATGAAGCCAGTTTGCTTAGGGCATCAGCTCTCTTGTTCCTCGACCTACTGAGGATATGGGATATGGAGCACTTCTCGAACTTATCCCGCAATTCAAGGACTTTCTCGAGATACGGTCTGAGATGCTCTTCTCGAATGGTATAATCTCCATTGATTTGCTTGACAACCACCTGAGAATCCCTAAAAACCTCAAGATATTGAACTCCAAGCCTTGAAGCCATATTCAACCATGTGATCATTGCTTCGTATTCAGCCACATTGTTAGTAACCGGGAAGCCAAACCGCAAGGCATAGGTATATTCCGCATCATATTCCTTTACCTCCTCGACTTCACGTGTCGTGGTCGGTTTAGCCAGGATGATACCGGCCCCTCCCCCTTCCTCACAAGATGCTCGAGGATCCGGGGGGGTATGTTTTTTTACTTGCTTCTTTTGCTGAGGCTCGAGTGAGGTGCTTGTAGTACGGGGATCGTACCACTGGGCATGCCACTTGACGATGCCAGGAATCGTATCACCGGTTTAGTGGAACACCGGTAGGATTTATCTACAAAACAGATTCTCGGAGGTCTCCCCAAGGATAGACACTCTGATGCTTAAGTCAGAAAAAGGTTATAAAGTAGCGTGTATATTGTAATTGGTGCTAGAGATAGCATACTTCAATTGTGGTGTGATCAACCCTATTTATAGGCATGGAATAACCTAGTAGATATCTGAATCCTACTAGGTTTCAATTTACTCAACCACCCTCATAGAGTCGGTTGGACCCTTTATTGGGCGAGATGGGCCGGTCCGGTAATCCGTGGCGGATATGGACTCGTCACTAGCAAAGGAGATGCAAAATAATTTCTCCCCTCTTCAGCTGATAACATGAGTTTGTTACAAAATGGAACGAGGGGATTCCTCAGTTCCTGCATTTAGACCTTCTTTGAGCTGTCATTTATCATCTATTCTGGTGCTTAAGTCGTATTGGCCATGAATAAAATACTGAAGCTTCCAATGATGCTTGATGGTTCCCTTGATGCTTCCATGGAAACTCACTGCAACTATACACATGGGTTCGTGGATCTTTATCCCCAAGTTCTGTCAGAATGGCCTTGATGATTTCTTACGAATCCTGACCAACTCCAATGCCTAGACACTCTCTGGGATAACGAAACACAGCTCCAAACTCTTTCATTATTTTATATATCAAATTATTTGCCTATTGCAGCAATTTGAGAGTTATTTTACTCAAGGATCAGAGTCCTTCATACAGCTTTAGCAGTTGACGGTTCTCACGAACCATGGCATATGTACAAATTCTAGTACCACCCAAAAAAGAGAAGGACATTCATTTTTAAAATAGTGCTTCATTCCAAGTCTTTGATCAGTGGAGCAAAGTAATTTGCAGTAAAATTGAGCTAGTCAGGACTTCAGTGTAAGTCTCATAGAACTAAGGATCAATGGGCTTTAATTTTTGCACCAGTGCATAAAACTTAAACCCCATTCTGTCTTCAAACTTCCTAGTAAGGATATATGCAGCGTTGACAGCAGCAGTTTCAGCATGAGGCAGCAAGTTCTTAGTGGCTGAGATATCATTCTTGGGGGCCTCATCAAACAAATCTATTGTCGGTTGATACGAGAATTCAGAATCAATCTGCATGGCCAAGAGGATGTTACCATTCAAGGTTGTCATCTGTTCACCCAAGACTTTCATTGAATATTGAAGAGATTCAGGGAATTCCATTTCCAAATTTGAAAATTCTGCCAGATTATCAAGAGAGGAGTTAATGATTTCCAAGACTTTATCTATTGTAAGAGAGCTTGACTGCTGCATATTACCCAAGAGAATGGTGTACAATTCATCTGCTTGTTTCTCGAAAGATTTAAGGATTTGACCAAACTCTGCAGTTGGACTTGGACCTTCTGAAGTAGCTAAACCATCCGAATCAAGATGAATAGCATGAATTAACTCTGTGAAAGCCCGAACAGTATCTTCAATCTTCACCGAAAAAGATCCAAGACTTGCATCGTTTTTCAACTTTCTAGAGGAAAGAACAAACATTTTGAGATTCCTTAGAACAAATCTCAAAATCTTAAACATAATAAGGTTTTCAGAGTCAATGGGATTCATGCCGATCAGAACATCTACATGGTGTAAGGCAGAACCAATGCAGTCAATGGGGTTTGGGGCCTTCTTGCGCAATCTGTCCTCAGAATCATGATTGCAGCAAGGAAGCAAAAGAAGATTCCCCATAAAGGCAGCAAAAGAATCACAAAAGAATTCCTCATGGTAGCAAAATTTTAAGCGGAAATTCCCCATATGTGAGCTACGAAGTTGATTATTTTGTACAGAAATAAAAGATGTAGGAGATGAGATGATGGAGAATGGAATAACCGAATAAGCATATGAAGTTGAAGCAGTACAAGGGATCTAAGGGAAAGAAAAAATACTGAAACAGAGAACCAAAATGAATAATATATGGGAAGATAATAGTCAAAGGCAAAGTGATGTGATCACCAACGCTTAACTGCATATTTATAGACTAACGGAGGGGAGGAGAATTCAATGTGGCTATTTTATCTTCCTACCTTCCTCTATCATATGTTATAAAGTACCACCAAGTGGTATATCTTCTGACAAGATGGAAGACTTGCAGAGAGGAAAAAGATGGATTGTGTAACAGGAATAAAAAGTAATGTGACCAAACTGAGATTGCAGAGTTCAGTCTTATCCATCCTTGGTTCTACATAGTAAAATACAACAACTGGCATTATTCTAAATCAATATTGACTTTGCAAGGTGGTAAGAAAACTTCCTTGGCATGCTAGTGACATTGTTGGTAGCCTGTAAACATTGGCTTTCAAGATTATGCAAACAAATTTTTATTAGAAAAAGACTTAGTTGTTCAGTCTTGTTCCTCTTGGATTGTTTAATTTAGGAAGGCATAGAAAGAGGGAAAGAACTAACTAAAAGTTGGTAGACTTTGTCAACTGTTAATCCCTCTGAATGTGGAATACCTTCTACGACAACGACATCAAACATTATTTATGCTCATCATTAAGAAATGACCCGTAATGACTAAGTCATGGATCGTATAGTAAGGTCAACAGTTTCAGATTTGAAATATCAGTTGATCTCAAATTTAGGAGCTGACACTAAAATGACCTTTTATTGACTTTCTACATTCCCAACCTCAGAAAAGAGAGGGAAAATGGGAACTGTAATTGACTTCTCACAATGCAATCTGTCCATTTCACAGCCTTTTTCCTACAAATTACTCATACTCTAGCTCGGTTGACTTGGACACAATCTCACAAAAGTCAGCTGTTTAACAGTTGATGGAGGCCTGATTGTATCTACCTTATGAATTAGTCTAATCAAGTGGAAACCACTACTAAGTAGTTAAGTGTAGCATCTATCTATATATTAAAGGAGAGTTGATCATTCAATACGTGTCTCTCAATTAGGCCTTAATAGGTTCCGTTGACATGTCGTTTTATAATTGGCTCATCATTAAACCATTGTCGTATGCCGTTTTATTTTTGGTTCATCATTAAACCATAAAAATATTATGTAAAAGAGTTATTCCCTTTCACTTTTACTAACTAAAAGATTAATACGGCATATGGTGGTCTAAACATCAGTTTTGGGTCGATTAAAATTAGCCCAATTAAAAAACCACAAAGCATATCTTCTCCTTGAAGTCCAGTTCAAAAACAATGCAAGCCCAACAAATATTTTTCGGAAATAATTGGCCCAACTCTTAACCCTAATTCTATTATAATATATAGTTTCTATTAAGCTGCAATAATGTAGTTGTTTTGGGCATTAAGTTTAGAATCATAATCTTGGTTAATTAAAAAAATTAATATATAAACCAAATCAACGACCTTAAATTATAATGAGGTATTTAATTCTCTCCAAAACAAAAATTTAATCATATAACTTTCATGATATGTTGAGTGGCGGCCACTTAATTGAAGTAATTTCATTAACCCTAATTTTGTGGTTTCTTCCGGTTGTTATGTATAAATAGATCAATATTTTTATATTGTGTATAAATAGATCAATGCTCTGCTGCGTATTCTTCTGTCCTTCTGCGTCGCTGGGATTGGGTCCACTTACATTTATTAAGGCATTCTCCCAGAGATTTTGTAAGCCATTTTTCATTCATCCTTTTCGTTATCATTTGGTTCTATCTGTATATTTCGTGTAGCTTTCTTTATGACACCTTGGTTTTTGGGGGGAGTAAGACTCGGTTACACAGATCTTTCAATTACAAATTCTTCGTGGATATAACCAGAAAAAATCCTTGTTGTGCAACTATTAATTGATAATATCTTTCTATTGATCCCAACAGTTTGTTCATTTATTTAAAAGTTTCGGCAGTGTGTTCCTTGTGCCAAAGGTGTTAGGTTTGTTCCATATTTTGGCCACCAATATATTGTTATTGTTAGAATGATTTTTTATGCTCTGCGGAGAGGAATTTATGGAAAAAAAAAAAAAATCCAAGGGAGTGGTCCTTTTTGACTGCTATAGTGAGCTCATTGTGCAAAAACAGAACTCTTATCTTTCTTACCGCTGTTACTTCAATAATTAATTAAATGATGAAAGCAGTATTTGCTGCTCAAGTTTATTTTGCTAAAGGTGCAGTGCCGTTGCCTACAATTAATCGGTGTTTGCTTTACTTTGTAATATTTCTTTCACCAATACATTCATATATTGTTTTACTTGATTTCTGTTTTTTTTTTTTTAGTAATCTGGAATTGATATGATTTTCTTCACCCATCAAAATGAATAGCATAATTCACTTTGACCGTGCCAGTGGAATTGATAATTGGAATAACCTTTATTTTTAGTCCATGGGATCACCACGAGATAGATATATTGCAAAGCTCAGGTGTTTGTTCTTTGTTTCCAGCAACAATACTAAAAGATAATTGAGCTTAATGATGCACAACTTTTATATAAATCCTAGAATCCAACGCATATCATTTGAGAGAGTTTGAAGCAAGGGTTTTTCCCCCTTTGTGTTTAAATATGGCATATTATTAAGAGTTTCTGTTTGCACACATTTTATTTTATTTATTTTGTAGACAATCTCACTCGGCACTGATGGGTTTGACCAGCAATGGAAAGGTTGATCTTTTTAGCTAGTTAACGTCTTTTTTTAACTTAACAGTCTAATATCTTTTTTTTCTGCTAATAAATATGAAGAATTATGAAAACTTGATCCCTTCTTTTGGTATTTTATGTAGATTTGTGATAACGTCGATGTCAAAGGGTTGATAGAAGAGAATTTTGCTGGACGTGATCGAGGAGGTGGCGGCGGCAATAGAAGTGCCAGAAAAAGGATTTGCGGTGCCTTAATCTAAGGTAATTATGAAACACTTCTGGTCCTAGCCTTACGTAAATTCATGTTGGATTTCTTGGTACTTTTGCCTTGTTGTGCAACTATTAATTGATAATATCTTTCTATTGATCCCAATAGTTTGTTCATTTATTTAAAAGTTTCGGCAGTGTGTTCCTTGTGCCAAAGGTGTTAGGTTTGTTCCATATTTTGGCCACCAATATATTGTTATTGTTAGAATGATTTTTTATGCTCTGCGGAGAGGAATTTATGAAAAAAAAAAAAAAAAACTCAAGGGAGTGGTCCTTTTTGGCTACTATAGTGAGCTCTATGTTTCATTGTGCAAAAACAGAACTCTTATCTTTCTTACCGCTGTTACTTCAATAATTAATTAAATGATGAAAGCAGTATTTGCTGCTCAAGTTTATTTTGCTAAAGGTGCAGTGCCGCTACCTACAATTAATCGATGTTTGCTTTACTTTGTAATATTTCTTTCACCAATGCATTCATATATTGTTCTACCTGATTTCTGTTTTTTTTTTTTTTTAGTAATCTGGAATTGATATGATTTCTTGGTACTTTTGCCTTACATAAATTCCATTTCTTTAATAGGTTCTAATCTAATTATGTTTTTGGTTGAATTGTTTCAGGGGTCATAATCTTAGGTTGTTTTATTGGAGCTTATCCCCGGTAATTTTCCAAGATGGCAAGTTTTTCATATTCCATGTAATTTGTTTTTTTTTTTTTTTTTTGAGTTTGACTCCCACACAAGTTATGGGTTTTCCGATAAGGTTATCAATTTGGTTTCCCATATTATGATTTATGATGTTTGTTTCGGTTTTATTAATTGGTTTATGAAATCAAATTTTTTATTGCTATGGTTAGAATTCCTACTATGTGCATTTTTGTTTTTTTTTCTGTTTTTTTACATTTTGGTTATCTATTTGGTTTCCTAGGATGTGAGTGATTTGTGATATTTTTTTCAGATCTTCAGTTTTTTTTGTTAGTAATTTGATTACCATGAATTAGATCATACAACTTCATGTCTTACGTACGTAGTTATTTTTCTTTCTTAGGGTATTTTTCCAGCGAAAAGAAGGAAAAATGACAACTATTTTTTTTTCTTAGTGCAAAAAATGGCAACCAGTTTGAGATACACTGACGTAGTGCGCATGGGTCAAAGTATACTAGATTCCTGAAATCGTTTTGTGATAGCCTTTGCTTTGAAATTATTTATGCGTATATTTTATCTGTTTTAAAATAATTATTGAATAATATAAATTTGAATTTATGGTGTAATCACTATTAAAAAATAAAAACTAAATATAGTAATTATTTTAAGTATGGAAAAATTGTATAAATGATCCCTTATAACCAAAAGATTGTGAAATCAAATTGATCATTTAAGTTTATGAATCCGTTTTTGTTTTTACAAAGTTTTGATGCGATGATAAATTTTGTTCTTGCGTTCTGGGTGTTTTGTATTTCGTTTTAAGCAGTTTCATGTAAACTCTAAATAAAAAAAAAATGATTGGGGAAGCACATGTTGTAATTGGTGGACTACTTTGCCTGTTTGATTAAATTTAAATATGATTTTAGAATTATCATATTAGATGTCTTCTCCTTTTGCATTCGTAGTTGATAGATATTTTTTTTTTTTTCTCATAAATAGCCTCCCAAGGCCAAGGATCAACACCGACATGAAAATTAGCAATTATCGCATTGATGTAAAGTTGATCATGATCATTAAAGAGGAGAAGTCTAGCTCAAGGGAGAAGTCTTCTTTGTCGTAAAAGTCTATTCAAAATGAGTTTGCAAGAAGCAGCAAAAATTTATTTGAATTTGACTTTCTTTTCCAGATTAGGAATGATCAACTCTCCAAAGAATTGTGAATTGTGAATTTGCTTTTGGAAGGCATTGTTTTTGTTTTATGTATCACCAGTAATTACATAATCTGTATACTTTAACTAGAGATTGTATGATGAGACATGTAGGAAAAAAAAATACTCACTAATATTGGAAACCGGTATTTGAAAAAGGATGTTCTAATCATTGGCAGTACCATGATTAATAACTACAAAGGAAATGTTAAAATTCAAAATTCACTACATCGCAATTCTTTATGCAGCACAGTAAAAGTGCT